ACACAAGCCTGCTTTACTGTTCATTAGTGTTCCCTGCTAAATGGTTTTTAATGCTAAGGAGTTCAGTGACAGCGTTACTGCAAATATGACACAGGCAAGGGAGAAAAGTCATCTTACGTTTTCCATCCCTATCACAGCCCACCCATGCCAACACCAGAGACTTTAGGGACAGAAGAACTGTTCATTTCTGTCTCATTTACTCTAATGCCACACACTCTGTCTTAACAGGATTCAGGCTGACCACACGTCAACATCGACTTTCTAACACAGGTGAGGACAGTCTGAGAGAAGTCAATGATAAACTTCACCATGTATAGCAGAGCCAACACTTGATCCCTGTCTGCAAAGAACGAAGCTAAAATCTCTGGTTTGGAGCCTACGTATTGGTATATTTAAACGTTAATGTGTAGTTTGTCCTACTCTCCTCTGATATGTCAATGTCTTTATTCATCATTCACTGTTAATTTGTTGAGTGTCTTGTGTGATTCTACCACCACACTATGCCCTCCTGAAGAGAGAGAAAAAGGGAAAGATACAATTCCCACCCTCAGAAGAATTATGACTCTGGAGAGAGCAAGAGGATCAGGAAGGCTGGGTGGTGGTAGCACACGCCTTTAATCCCAGTACTCGGGAGACAGAGGCAGGCAGATCTCTGAGTTCAAGGCCAGCCTGATCTACAGAGCAAGTTACAGGAAAGGTGCAAAGCTACACAGAGAAACCCTGTCTTGAAAAAAAAAAGAGGATCAGGAAGAAGGAGGACTGCAGAGATGAAGCAGCAGTTAAGAACACTGGCTGCTTCTGCAGAGGACCAAGACACACCCCCAGTGTCTCATAACCACCTACACCTCCTTCTCAAGGGGACCTGATACCCTCTTCTGGCCTCCATGGGCATCTGTGCACTTAGGTACATATACCCACAGACATATAGACATAAATAAAAATTAACATAAATCTTTTCTTAAGAGGAAAAAAGGAAGGAGGGAGGTAGAGAGTGGGAGAGAGATGACAGAGAAGGATTAGAAGCGATGAAAAACTTTTGTTTGTTTGTTTGTTTTTCCAGACAGGGGTTCTCTCTGTTCCTCTGTGTCGCCCTGGCTGCCTTGGAACTTGATCTGTAGTCCAGGCTGGCTTCGAATTCACAGATATCTGCCTGCCTCTGCCTCCAGAGTGTGGGGATTAGAGGTGTGCACCACCATTGCCTGGCAGTTCTTAACTCTTGATAAAGCTGATTTTGTGTCTGCCTGGTTTGGTGCTGAATGAAAACAGAAACAGACATCCTGCCTTTCACCTGTAACTGCCATGGCTTCTTGCCTAAAAAACAATGTTCCTGGTCATTTTCCCCTTTGAACCTATCTCATCCTATAGTTTGATATTTTAAGCTTTAGCTGTACCTTGGCTAAATAAGGCTTACTTCCTCTGTCTCCATTTTACCTCTCCCATGTTTTATGAAGAAATGGAGTCAGTCTAGTGGCAGCTTCTTTACAAATGTAAGTCTCCTTCTTTGATCTACCTTTTCTTGGAGTTTGTTCAAGTCCAGATTTCTTTTCTTTTTCATTATACTTCAAAATCTGTATGCCCTTATTAAAAATACACGTGGCTACCCCAAAGTTTCAAATGTTTTTTTTTTTTCCTATGACTTTTCCCAGAACCTTTGGGGTTTTCGTAGTTATTTTTAGAGCTATGGTCCATCTTGAATTAGGTTTAGGATGTAATGTGTGGCAAGGGTTGAAAATTAGTTTTTGTTTTTCTCTATGATGGTGAGTTGTTTCAGCATCATCTGTTGAAGCCTTTATCCTTTCTCTTTTGATATGTCTTAGAAACTTGGTCAAAATCAACTGACCATGTGTCTTTGGATTTATTTCTAAGTTTCTACTTGACCTTATTAGTTGATTCTATATGTTTACTTCACAGTATCTTACCTTATGTATAAGTAACTTACACTGTGTCTCGGGTATTGCTAAGTCATAAAAATTTATTCTCTCTCAAATATGATCCAAATATTCCAAGCTGTTAATAAACACTATAATTAGACTATAAATGATTATTTCAGAAGCTTGGGAGAAAATTTGAATAAAACCAAGATAAATTTAATTTTTAATTTAATAAAAATAAAATTTAATAAATTAAATTAAAAATATTTAATTTTCTTGCTCATAAGTGTCTCCATTTCTTAGGTACATTTTCATTTATTGGATCCTTTCTTAAACAATGTTTTAAGTTTTTCAGAATGAAAATATTTTAAATTGTGTTAAATACATATTAAAATTTCTCTTATTTTGATGCTATTGTGAATTGTATGAATTTTCAAATTTTTGGGTTTTTGTTATTTATTCCTAGTACATAGAAATAGCATTTGTCTATGTATAATTATCTTAAATCCTGAGGCCTTAGCAAATAGTGAGTAATGTTAGCAATGTTGGTAAATTCTGAGAGCTTTCTGTCCATAAATAACAACTGAGTTAAGACAACTCTTCTGTCCACCAGCAGTCTTCAATTCCTTTTTCTTGCTTTCTTGCTTTGTTTAGAATTTTTACTACAATGTCAAATAAAAAATAGTGGCAACGTTTTTGCCTTGTTCCTTATCTTAGGAAGTAACTCTGCAGTCTTAGAGCACTGTTTGGTGCTCGCTGCAGGTTTTTCACAGGTCCTTTTATCTGTTACAAAAGTTACCATCTAAGTTTGTTGAGACATTTTTTTACTTAAAGTTTCATAAATTGTCTTTTTTTTTTCTTGGTCAACTGAGATATTCATATTATTTTATTTTTTAAAGATTTATTTATTTTAAACAGGCCATGCCAGTCAGAAAACCAGACAGGCTGCCCACAGACATTATCCTCTCTTTTTCTCTGTTCCCTTAAACCCAGTGTCTCAGTCTTGTCCACAGGGCTGCAATAGATCACTAGCTAGAGCTTCCCTCCCCTCCCTCCCCACATCTCCTGTGGATCTCATAGACCATCCCCTTCTAACTTCCCTCCCCACAACTGTATCCCAGACTTCAATACCAGCAGGCATTCCCTGTGAACATGCCAGCTGAGCAAGTCAGTAAAAAAAAAAAAAAAAAGGGAATACACAGCTATCACACTTTCTGAAAACCCAAAGAGGAAATAGAAACCAATTAGCAAAACACCCACCTAACAAAGACAAACCCAGAAATCAGCACTTAGACCTATAAGCATCCCAAACCCAGATGCCTAGACACCAGCATGAGAACACAATCAATAATAGTCAGGGCAATATGTCTCCACTAGAGGCCAGCTATTCTGCCTTTTATCTCCAGATCCAGGGGATTCAATTCCCTTTCTCTGACCTATGCAGGTTGCTGCATGCACATAGTGCATATACACAGACAGACAGACAGACAGACACACACACACACACACACACACACACACACACACACACATTTTTACACAAAATGTAATATATTATGATTTTACTAACTTCAAAATATTTTTCCATGATTTCTTCCTCAACATAATGTTCCTTTGAAGGCTAGGGCTCATTTTCTAAAAACTGGTATGAGAGGAGAAATGTTTTTATTTGCTTTCAGTTTAACTGCTATGACCGGATGATGGAGAGTATGTCCAGCTGACACAGGTTAACTCATCAAAGCTGTTACCATGATCTAACCTGATACATGTTTATCTATACTTTAAAAGAGTACACATGCTTTTGTTTTTTGAGCATACTACACGATAAGCCCAAGTTGTGCTTACCATCATAAGCCTGTTCTCCCTTCACTGACTTTCTGTGTACTCTGTCAGTTGCTGAGTGATGAGACAGACACATCCAATTGCAATTATCCAAGTGCTGAGTTTTCCACTTATGTTTGAGATGACTTTTTTCTTCATTAATTGACTCTTTTTATCATCGTGAAATATCTCATTTTCTCACCAACTATATTTCTTGCCCTCATCTACTTTGTCTTTCAATAGTGTATACACTGTGCTTTGCTATGGTTCTATTTTGCAGATATATAAGCAGATAGACAGATAATAGATACATACTTTTGTACTTAAAAGGAAGTTTACTCTTGTTTTTTTTATTTTTCAAGCTTTCACACATGTCCGTTGTATATTGAATATATATCCCCCCGGCCCTTGCCCCTTCTTAAGGGGAGTTTTTTAGGTATGATTTAATTAGATTTGGTTGTCAAACCAAACTGTCAATTTGTCTTTCCCTTGTAGTATTTAATTTACCTATTGAATCAAGCCCCTCATGTTAACATTTGTTTTCTATTTATTCTGTATTTCTTTCTTTTTTCCTTTATCTGTTCTTTGGAAATTTGAATATGCCTTAGCATTTCATGCTAATGTCTTTATTGGATGATTACTATTGAAGTATCAATGGTTGTTTCAGGGTGCACAATGTACACCTTACTTACACAATCTACATGTGAATACATATTGGTTTTTTAATAATATAAGAATTATTGCAGAATACCTCCATCTCCAAGCCCTCTGCTTTGTACTATTGTTGTCTTAGGTTTTATTTTTGCACACATCTAAAACCTAGCATACATTGTTAACATTTTTGCTCTAAATAGACAATTACCTTGGAAGAAAGGTTTTTTTTCCACGTTAAAGAATTGCTTCATTCAAGTATAAAAGTATAAAAGTTATAAAAGTCTGGAAGAAAATATTTAAAATATTTTCATCATAAGGTAATAATAAATGTTTGAGAATGAAATAAATATGTTTAAGTTGATTTAAAGATTCCAGAGCAACATTGCATGGTACTCCACTAATATGTGTACGTTTTGATATTTAATATATAAGGCAAAATAAAATAAAAAGTATTGAAATAATTCCCCTAAACCAAATATAGCATTCATAAATATGTAATTATTAATAGTCAGTTGGATGAATTTTTAATTAAAAAATTTATTAATTTTTTCTGTATCATACTTAGAACTAATTCTTTTCCTGGAATTTTATTTAATTTTTTAATTAATTTTCTTTTAGAATTTCATGCATGAGTACTGTCATTTCCACCCCTTTCTCCTGTGCCCCTCATTCCCTCTCAAACTCATGACCTCTTCTTTATTATTATATATACAAATATATGCATCTATATCCATATTTCTCTGTATAACCTACTGAGTCCATTTAATGTTGTTTGGATGTACGTGTATTTTGGGCTTATCACTTGGAATTGGGTAATCTCTTCATCTGAAGCTCATATCAGGAGAAAACTGATTCTTCCTCTCCTGAGCCATGATTCTCTGTAGATCTTTATTGAGAGATGTGGCCTGTGAATCTCTCATCCTCGAAGGCATGTCAATTGTCATTATGCAGGTCTTGTTTAGGCAGCCATATCAGCAAAATATCACGGGGCAGCTTCCCTGTGATGACCAGAAGACATTAACTCTCAACAGGTGCCCTGGTCCTTTGGTTCTTACACTCTCCCCACCCCTCTTCTGTGATGCTCCCTGAGCCTCAGGTATAAGGGTTGGGTTGCAGATGTGTTCTCTGGGGCTGGGTACCCCATGCTTACTTATTCTAGATCTCTATGAGAGCTTCTACCTGCTGAAAAAAAAAAAAACTTCTTTGATGAGGGGTGAGAGCTACACCTATTTGTGGGTATAAGGATATTTAGAATATAGTTAAAAAACACATTGGTTTAGGAAAATAGCAGTAGAGGATTCTCCTCTATAGTTTCATTGATAGTTGGATAGGT